CCCCCCCCCCCCCCCCCCCCCCCCCCCCCCCCCCCCCCCCCCAACCCTATTTTTTCTGTTTTCATGATCTAAAAAAATTAACTTTTGAAACCAGGGGGTGCGTAAACTTTTTCTGTTTTGGCTAGCAAAAAAAAACGAAATTTCCAAAAGCAGGGGAACATAAGCGCTTTTTTGCTATTAATTTTCTAAAGCAGAGAGGGTCGTTATGCCGCCCCTCCTATTTACGCTCCTGTCTCCTATATCTCCTATAACTGTGGCACCCCCTATAATCTATATATCTCTATATCTGTTATATCTACTACGTTTTGTTCCCTAGCACTTAATCGAGTTTCCGGGGATATTCTCGGAACGCATCTAATCAGTTGGATCAAACTTGAACTACTACAGACAAACTATGAACTTATGATGTGAGGACAAGAAATGACAAAATGTAGACGCCTAATCCTGGAAACACAGCAATAGTAATATAAAAAAAAGTACTGAGAAAAAAACGAGTTCTTTCTGCCATTCAGCACATATACGGATAACTGTTTCCAGAACCTTTTGTATTTAAAAAAACAATGTTAAACAGATGAAAATTCATTATAAATCCAAAACAGCCACACAAACTAACTGAACTGATCATCTATGACAAACTGAAAATGAATAAATTAATCACTCTTGCTGTAAAACATCAATCAATATATTGGCCATGGAACTACAGACCATATGGTCATATATTCAGGTAGTGTTCGCGCTAATCACATTTTAGCCAGAAACACTAAATTGGGAAAACCATAATATTGTGTAGCCCTTGAAAAGCTCATTCGAATTCGGAAAGAGAAATGTGTCATCGAACTATTTTAGAAACCAGTGAAAAGCCTAAATATTCGGACAAGTTTATTGTCAGAAAATGCTGTTTTCGTTACATTAAAATTATGACGTTAGAGTGTGTTTCAATATCTATAAAGACCCTTTCACAGAATATTGGATCTAGTATCAAAATATTCATCATAGAATTCTCCAGTGATATATGAGTGAATTGCAACTTTTTGGTACAATTAGCGTTCTAGCTGTATTTACTTAATAATTTTCGTTCCACTGCACCAATTTTAATATTTTTTTTCAGTTATTGCGCTCTATGTGCCCCACTGCCACACCAAATTTCAAGTCTCTATCTAATACTGTTAAGGATTTATAGATCTTACACTGTGAAAAAATTGTATTAAACATGGAGATATGTTACAAAAGCGATATTTTCTTCACATGAAAAGCGAGGGGAAAATATTATGATTAGGCCATTTTGTAGAGCTTGAAACGATCTTTCAAATGATATACCTTTTTTTTACTCCTTCGTTTCGCGTCCATTCGCTTTAATTTAAAATTACAGACACTTATGCATTTTTGTGTAGACTCACATTATCCGTCAATTTTTTTCCTGTGACTATGATTTAAAGAAGCGGGAAGATACTTAAAAGAAAGGCGATTGAGTCATAAGCACATTGATAGAAAAAATTCTCGTGGATAGTTTTCCTCTTTATGAAGAAAAAACGATCTTCTCCGAAAAATTCAAATTTTAGTCACTTTTTAGACTCACCTTTTTGAAAATTTCGTCGTTTATAACTTTTGAACAATGCATCCGTTTCTGCTCAAATTTTTACCGTAACTTTATTTCTCAAAATTGTACAAATGATAAAAAATTCAGCCGTTTATATCTTTCTGTTCGCGAGAAGCTTACAATATACGACAAAATGTAGACTCACCTTTCTTATATGCTATTTCAACGAAAAGTACATCAAACCGAGTATTTTTTCGCAGAATTCAATATTTTATTGCTATAGAAAATAATTCTCTACCTGCTTTCGAATCGTATTACTACTAAAATACATACAAACCGATATACAGCTTTAGTCAGTGGAAAATAATACATATAGAAAAAATCGTAGGTTTATACAAGGTATATCTCCCTTAATAATCGATAGAGTATTGGGAAATTTTTGTAGTATATCACAGGCATAGAGTCTAATAAAATCAACTAAATTACTCAAAAGTTGTTTAGATTCCCTTTCATATATTACGTCTATTGTACCAAAACGTTGCAATATACTCTCTAGCTTCGATTTTTATTCAATAATTGATATTTAGAAAAAATCAAGATATATCCGTAGATAGAATTCTCAACATAGTTCTCAAGAAAAAACAAAAATATTTTTTTCGAAATTGTCGTACTCCCCTCCAGGGTTTGGGTTGATAAAATGCTTTTTTCGATTTTTCTTGACAACTATATCGACCATTCTATCTAGGATCATGTACTGGTGTGTGCTAGGTAAACATTTTTGAACTTTCAAAGTGTGTTTGTCGTCACATGGAATCGCTCATAAGTAGAAAAAATCACAAATTATACCGGGCATATCTCCCTTAATAATAGATGAAGTGTCGGGATATATTTTTTTGTGTACTACTGGCGTAGAGTGTAATAAAATGCACTAGTCAAAAATTGTATAGGTTCACTTTCATCTGTTCGCATCAATTGCACCAAGAAGTTGCAATTCACTCATATATAGATTATTTTTCGACTATTAACTTAGAAATTAATCTTAGTATGCAGAAGATTCTTTAACATGAGTTTCTCGCTCCAATTGAAAAAGGGCTGTGGGCATACGTGTATACTCTTTTAGATGATTGTGTGGGGTTACAGATATGTGAATGATCACTTTAAGTGATCACACACACGCCCTCAATCCGGTCCTGACCATAAATGATTGATAAAGGAATATAGGTGCTGATTATTTGCTAGATTTTGATGAATTCATTTTCTTATATAATCGTCGACCAATTTATGATAGAAACAAAAAATAATGCTCATTTATTTATACATATGACTCAAATACGATTTGTGGTCAAGGTAGCCCGGTGGCTCCTCTGTAGAATACTCAAGGTGCTATTTTTCTTCTTAGTCTTAAATGCACTTGTTTCAATGCATATGCGCCTCCGCCTGCCGTTAATGATTGTCGACTCTATGGATCTTGATACCGTTGTAAATATGTTTAGTCCGACGGGGCAGTATGTTTTCAATCGTCAGCGACATCTTCTGTCGTTGTTGAACCCTCTTTTAGTGTGGTGCTATATTTCAGAAGACTGGAGAACTCTTTTAAACATTCCGCCTCTGATTGACCAATGCCCAATAGTTTCAACCAAGTTACTTCTTGGTTTGCGCTTCGCTACTATTATTCCCAATACTACCTATCCTTTCATAGCACCCAGAAGTTTTTTCAGACAAGAACTATTATCAAGGCCCACAACTTCAAGTACCAAACTACATCATCTAATGATCATTTTGTTAACGTCATCGCGGACTATAGCCCGTTTCGATGCAGCCCGTCAAACATGGATTGCCCATCTCTCAGCGATGAAGTCAATAGACCTAGACCAGAAGTGCTTATACTCATCTATTCGCTGTCTCGAATATTTTGAGTGTTGCCTTAATATATCTAATGGCAAATCAGCAAAGCTCATTATTGTAAGCGATGAGGCTGATCCGCAACGTGGAATAGTAACATTGCTAGAGCTCCATGGAAAAATAAACTATCTTGATGCGCAGCATCGGCAGCTTAAAATGATCAAGCATCTTATAAAATTCGACAGGCGTCTCATTGCACATATTAGATGGGTTGCTTTGACCGATGATGATACTTGGCTCAATGTCAATCAAATTCTTGCTGTGTTATCAATGCTCGACTGGCAAAAGCCAATGGCTGTTGGCCATATTTTAACAGAACAAGAGAGCACTAAAGATCTACTATATGCCTCCGGGGGAGCAGGTATTTTCTTATCAATCTCTGCTTTTTCCATCATCGCTTCCAGACTTTACACTTATTGTCCTTTCTGTAAATACAATGACCTTACAGTGGGAGTTTGTCTAGCATCGTCTGGCATCGAGCGCGTCCATGTTCCGTCTTTCGTTGCTTTTCGACCTGCTGAGCTCACATTCGAAGTACTCACAAACGTTGCATCTATTCATTATATGACTCCTCAAGATATGATAAATGCAACAAAGATACTAAACCTTGAACAAAGGCAAATCTAGCACACTAGCCCAACACACAAGGTTTACCATCGACCATCAGTACATATTTTTTCAACTACGAAGCCTATTGGGAAAAAGCGCTGTGAAACTAGGAAATTGCAATTAATCCAGAAAGTCTTTAGTCCTCCTCTATTTCCCAAGTCAATTATTACGGGCCAGTTTCCACAGGACATTGACCGAACGTGCAGAGTACTCGGGTAAGTGAAAACGATCATGGAATTTATCCGATTTCAAGTGAAACCAATAGTAAACTGGCAAAAGTGGCAGTCGGATATGATTCCTGGATTCCTGCGTCTAATTTCTGATATTTCCTGATGGGTTCTCGTAAGGAGCAGTGTGTTTCCTGCAGATTTTTGCAAAAAATTCAAGCAATACTGCTTCCCAAGTAGATAGTTGCGATAAATGAATCTTGTCGAATCGTATAGAATCCTCTTTCAAATTGTTAGGTCCTTTTCTCCGCTGTTCCTTTTATTCCTTCTTTCTTCACACAAACCAAACAACTGCACTCTTAAACACAAAGAACAGAACCGAACCAAGAGAACAACGCCTACTCTTTCTCTATCTCCCTCTTCCACCAGTCGGTTTCATCTCATGAGTATGATAGAGGGATAAAGAGGGCCTTCTTATGTCAGTAGATGTCTCTACTGACATAACACAAATTATGTCGGAGATCGTCAGTTTCTGACTCTATCTGATCGGATTATGTCGAATGAAACCCTAAATCCGGTGATCCGGAATCTAACGAGCATTTTGCTAGAAAATATGGATGTACCAATCATATAAAGCCGATGTCAAAGATGAAAGATCTTTTATAAACCCCCAGTTCGTAAAAGTCCTTCACTTTATTTATAGTCAATTTTGACTAGACTAACCAACGCTACTATCGAACTTTACAAAACTAGACGAAAAGAAAACAGGGCTGGGGGAGTCTGGTCAAAACTCGGAAATTTTCAGTTTTTCACTAATCTCCCAGTCATTTTTCTTTTCGTCTTACTCTGTAAATTTTGATAGTAGCGTTGATTAGTCTAATCAAAATTGACTATAAGTAACCTGAAGGACTGGTAAGTACTAGGGATTTTATAAAAAAATCTTTCATCTTTGATTTCGACTTTACAGGACTAGTGCATCATTACTAGGAAAAGATCGTGCTGAATTTGCCCAGTTTCAATTAATGGATACGAAAGGATTATATTGGATGATGTAATAAAATAAAGGGAACCATCCGGATCAGGTTGGAGTGGAACATGGTTACAAAATTTATCTACACTGAAAAAAGATCTGTACAAAATTTATCTACACTGAAAAAAGATCTGTACAAAATTTTAAAAAGTTTGAGAGGTTTACAACGAAATCGAAAACTCTCTGAATTTTGTAAAAATATACTCCAGTCTTCAGCTTAGACCCAAAATGGTTTCGTAGCTGAAATTTTGTCCAGTTCCAATGCAATAGATCCGCGCTTGCATGAGTTGTACCGAGGAACTAATCCCTTTCACTTTTTATCTATCCTAATTTATGCAGCGATTGATATTTAGTCCTTTGGAGATTCGTAAAATCGATATATAGGGTGGGGGTGTGAATGTGAGTGTGGGAGCAGTTGTTTCTATTGTTTACACACCCACACTGTTGGACGAAAAATTGATTTTTAGCTCCAATTACCCTACAGGAGCACTTGGCTCGAGGGAGCTGAAATTTATATGGTAGTTAGATAGCATTGAGATGTGCCTATATACAAAATTTAAGAACTCTATTCGGTTCCAATCTACACATATCAATGGTGAAAGTTGGTCAAAAAATCGATTTCCGTCCAATAGCGAAATCCATACAATAGCAATGGCTCAATCGTGAAAGCCGAAATTATTTTTACAAGCGAAACTGGGTTTGTTATTGATGCACAGAAAATCTCGTCGCAAACGATTGATATTTGGTTGAAAACTTAGGATCTTCAAAACCGGCCGTCGTAATACTGAGTTTTTATGGTGCTCTCAGTAAAACTGCAATAAAAGCCGAATGGCTCAATATTTTTTGAATCGGCTTGGGTCGAAATTCATCAAACAGATACCTTTATTACATACGTATATTAAAATGAGGAAGATTCGGGGATACGGATTGGGCACTATCTTAAGCGATGGTAGGATGTATATCAAAAAAGATAGTATTGTGAGGAAGAAGAATTAAATATGGCAGTTTCTTGGTACTGCCCTGAACAATTCACTGAAGAAACGTTTCAGATTGTTACAATCCATAGGAAAAATATTCTTTGTGTATGTCAGGCCCTTTTCAACAGGAACCCGAACTATCAAATAAACTAAGAAGTGGTGTCAAATGAAATATGCGAACGATTGCGCACTGCATGTGCATAGCATCTGAATAGAAAATACGGCAGAAAACATTAAGAACAGAATTTAGATTCATACCAACCAAAGCGGATTGGAATAAAGTAAAATAAGCTTTTCGAGCTTTACGTTCCCTTGTCTGTGTAGATTGACGTATCTCAGCTAATTTGGGTATAGTGGATATTAGCTATATCATCCTATGACTATTTTGAGTGAACGCTTTACACAATTAGCTTAGTCCGACTACACACTGGTTTATTTTAATCCAGATGTCCCACTGAGCTCCTATGCTCGCAGTCCACACTGGAAAATAATATTGTCGCTTAATATGTTCGTAATTACACTGATTTTTGTTAGCGTCTTCAAGTACACTGAAAAAAAATGGTGTCACACGAATCATCTGAGGTTTCATGGAATTTCACTGTATACTATTAGATATCGCACCAGTCCACGAAACCATTTTAAGGTTTAGTAATCACAAGTAACGTTCATCGACATCGAAAGTCGATTCACTGGGCCCTAGACTGACAGTGCTGAGCAGAAGAAATGCATGGACAGGACAGAAAATCGGTTGTTTGTGCCATGTGAATGGTCATTTGTGCCACATAAATGGTCATTTGTGCCACAGGAATGGTCAATTGTGCCACATAAATGGTCATTTCTGCAATAGAAATGGCTGTTTGTGCCATATAAATGGTTATTTTCCCCATAAAAATGCTTATTTGTGCCACAGAAATGGTCGTTTGTGCCATGGAAATGACCATTTGTGCCACACGAACGGTCAATTGTGTCATTGTTACAGACAGACAGACAGACACAGGTGAATTACGGTTTCTAGACCCTAGCCTTTCAGTCTAGGGAAAAGGGGTTCCGTAAAAAAACTCTTTTTATTTTTGGTAGGTGAAAGGGTTTCGTAGGATACCTCTTAAAGGTTTCGTATGATAATTCTTTTTCCTGTACATTTATGCTTCCGACAGATGCTGACTCATCAGAAAATTGTCCAGCCTCGATTATTTCATTCGTTTACGTATTTACCAGTCACTAGTAATCCAGTTTCAATATTGTATAGCTGTATTTTTGAGCTCACACGTTTTTGTGACGACCTCTTTCTAGAAAAAATACAGAAGGCCTTCACTATTATGGCAATGAACTTTAACAATTAACTTGTAAAAAATACTGTCCATGCCTCCAACATTATTTTATGCTCCAGTTTTATGCATTACTACATCCCGTAGTTTTATTCCAGCTTTCAAGGCCCTAATATTTAAAATCGTTGATTATTCAAACCACAGACTCTTTAATATAATAAAACGATTAGTTGCTTGTCATTTTATCTAGCTGGAGATCATATTAGTTTAGAACAAAATGATACATCTCATTTTGGATTTAACTTACACAATCGAAAGATACACAAGCACACAAAAAGACATCGGATGATAGACACATATATAAGAGATGCACATAAGTTGAAGCGGATCTGAATAGATATTGAGAGCTTAAGAATATATATGAAGTTAACGATGGATATAGATGATTCGACATATATATGTGGCAGTACAGTTTAGAATCTAGTTGAGATTGGAATTGTAAACTATTCTATAAATGCTATGAGAAAGTGATTCATAGAAATAAAATTTTGTTAATGAGTGATATGATATAGTTTGATTGAGTATGCAGATTCAAAAACGGCATTTTTCCAAGATAAATTTTGTCTATCTTTCATGATTGAAGAGAGAAAAATGCAAGGGGGAAACGGCAGACTTGAAGTAGAAAAGTACATCAAAGTACTTTACTTGAAGTAAGCTTAAAGTAGCGCAAAGTAGCCTAAAGTAGCCTAAAGTAGCACAAAGTAGCGCAAAGTACTTGAAGTACAAAAGTCTGCCGTTTCCCCCTTGGAATNTGAAACATTGGATTACACAGAGACAATATGAACAATTAAGCGTTAAACCAAATGAAGTGAAATTAGCCCATTTATATTATCTACCAAAAGTCCATAAACTTGGCACTCCACTTCGGCCAATTGTCTCTGAACTCAAACATCCAACTATAAAAATATCAAAATTACTCGACGGATTACTCCGACCTTTTTTTGATGGAATGGTATCAAACACGACTGTGACTTCTGGAACTGAAGTTATCAAACTGTTACAAGAATGGTCAAAACGTAATATACGTCAAGAAACTTTACTATGCACAATGGATGTGATGGATCTGTATACAATGATACCCCAAACAGAAGGTTTTTTATCAATTAAAAAAATGTTAGATTACTTAAACATTAAACAAATTGATGGTTTAAAAATGGAAACCATTATGCGTCTATGTAGATTCGTGATACAAAATAATTATTTTTCTTACAATGGTAAATATTATCATCAAGTACGAGGTTGTGCTATGGGTTCACCGTTAACGTTAACAATTGCTAACTGCTATATGTTCTTTTTTGAACGAGACATCGTTAAACAAATTAGCAATAGCAATGGATTCTATATACGATACATCGATGGTATATTTATTACCATCAACTGGCCTACTCAACATTTATCGAAACAATCGATCGATGGAATAAATTCGACGTTAACATTAAATTAAAAGCTCAAGTTGGTTATACAACGAATTTTCTTGATTTAAAGATAGAAAATAAAAATGGTGTAATATTTACAGAAGTATACCACAAACCATCTTATGAGCCGTACTATTTACCATTCAATAGTATTCATCCTATCCATATGAAGAAAAATATTCCATTTGAGATGTTAATTCGTGCTATTAAATGTTGTTCGACATTTGAAGCATATTTATATGAACGTGAAAAATTACGAATGGCTTTGTTATTAAATAAATATCCTGGCGAATTTTTAGAGAAGTAATTCAACCGTTTATTTCAAAAATATGAGATGAATCAGCCAATATCGAATAAAAATTATAATACATTATGAGAGAAAATAGTATATGCGGATGAAAAAGCAAAAATTGCAATCGATTATAATAAAGCAATGTTTGTTCATTTTACACATTGTTTAAACATGAAAATATTCCCGGAAAAACTGCATACCCTTTGGAACAAATATTTTACTGAATCGCCAATAAATGAAATAAAACCGGTTTTAGGAACGCGTAATGTTAGGAACTTACAACAACAGCTAATACGTAATAAATAAAATAATACAATATTTATAAAATTTCTTTTATGAAAATCCCACGGAAAAAATTTCACTGAAAAAACGCGGTAAACCGCGGTTTCAAGCGGTATTTGGAAAACGCGGGAGTCAGACCTTTTAGGCGTCTCTAAAAAAACCGCTGAAAACCGCGGTTTTTTAAAACGCGGTACGACGCGTTTTCTTAAATTTGAATAAACGGTTTGACTACCCCGGTTTTTTTTAAGCGCGTCAGTACGCGAATTCCCCAAGACACGATCAGACGCGGTTTTAAAAAAACGCAGAAAAGTCGGTGATAATCGCGGTTTCAGAATACCGCATTTTTACAGGTGACCTGATCACCTCGGTATGCTGAGGTGAGTTACCCTTCGTGGGGTAGTGAACTATAAGTTCCAATACTTCAAAGTCGCGTTGCAGCGACGAAGTTCATATTAAATTTTATAATACGTTACAGATAGCAAAGTGCGCACGATATCCTTTCTGTTCTTACACATTGTTGCAGTAACATCGTACGAAATGCGCAAAGATAATACTGCCAGTTTAGGATACACCAACGCGGTTACAATCGAGTTCAACGCGGTTTACGATACCGCGGTTTTTCTTGAAAAATATTTTCAGTGTGGAAAAGACTTTATATCACATTTATGAAGATATACTATGAACCTAATCAAAGGTCGCCGAGGTACTCAAAATTTCAAGCACAGAATGTGTTGAATATCATAAGCAGAATCTTCTCAGCACGTTTCATGAAGACGCGACTTACACTACCGCGTTGAGATACATAATCACCGCGTTACATAAAACCGCGACTTATTCTACCGCGTTGACACATATGATCACCGCGTTTCCATGAAACCGCGACTAACCGCGGTTCATAATACCGCGGTGCCAAGGAGGCGCACCGCGTTCTCTTTGAAACGTGGTGTGCAAAACCGCGTTTAACCGCGTTTTTTCTAGGACACCGCGGCGCATCATGAAAGAACCGCGATAACAATAAAATCCCGCGGTTGACCGCGGTTTTTTCGAAATTTTTTTTCCGTGGGATGAAATAAAGGAATGAAGTTATAATCTTATTTAAAAGTTAACATGTAACAATGTTATCCTGAACGTGGTCGCAGATCGTAACTCACACAACATATAGAAAGTTAACATGTAACATTTTTATTCTGAACGTGATCGCAGATCGCAACTCATATAAGAGTCGAATTGATTTAAATGACAACCAAAATCTTGTGCATCATTTTTCAAACTATCACATCGATTTTGTTTTGATTGTCTCTTTTCTTATAGCTTTGAAAAGCGTCTTTTTTGTTTTATTTGTCTGTTGTTATATCTTTGGAAACACTTCTTTGTTATTTTTTGTTTTTTTATTGTACTGGAAATGTAATGTAATGTAGAGCCCTGATGAGTGTTTAATATTTCAATAAATAACACGAAACGCGTCGGCAAATTAAACTCTGCATTTCTTTAATCATTTTTGATATCAAGCACAATAATTTGTTATTTTAGCACATTCATTTAATCTTGACAATACAATCGATTGCTGAAAAGCAAGAGTTGAGAATAGCAGATTGACTTTTATCCATTCTTTCAGCATAGATAAGCCAACTTGTTTTTGTGTACTCAAAAAAAAAGAGTACACTATNTTTTAACGCTGATTCTAAATCTGATATTAGTTTTGAACTAAGTCATAGCTTTCTAACGAAACATCGCCTGAAAAACGTCTCAAAATTCACAAAAACTCCATCCAGAAATCAAATTGTCTAGCTTCTCATGATAATTTTCGTGTTCAGGCATTCTAGAATGACTGATATGTCGCATGCACTTTTTGCAGTACACACAACTCTCGGATGAAATCCGAAGTTTCTACATTTATTTATTTAAAAAATTAAAAACAAAAGTTTGAGAAATAAAACAAATACTAAAAAATTAAAAGTTAAAAAGTATTTTAAAATATAAAATAATTAAGGAAAATAATAAATAGGTATCTGTAAAAATCAAAAAATTAACATTTTAAAAATTATTTACAATTTAATAAACAAAAGAAAAAAACTTAGATTAGAAAAATTTTTTAAATAAAAAACCTTAAAAAAAGCTCCAGAAATTTTTTAAAAATTTTAAAAATTAATAACGAAATCTAGAAAAATTTTAAAAATTGAAAAATAAAAAAATATTAATAATAATTAAATGGGGAGAATATTTAAATATTTTTCGGAACATGTATTCTACTGTTTATAGTAGAATGTGTTTATGAACCGAACTTTCGATGAACAGTGCTTTTTATAGTAACTTTCTATGACTAACTTCTAGTGTTCGAGAGTGGCCAATTATAAATAAGAAGGAATTATTTATAATTGGCCAGTTACAGTTACAACGGATCGTATGATGCGATCACTAGAACGCAGCTACGCTGACCTGGGCACATTAGGCGTAGTATATAAGAAAAGTCTTCACTTCGATCAATGCGCCGTATTTACGCGTAACTGCGGCGCAGTTGGTAAAAAAGAGGCGACATGGGATATATACATCTCTATGCAGTTTGTATGAATTTATCTGATTATTCTTCAGTTATTTTTGAGAAAAATTCTAATCGAATAAAACTACAAAGTTGATGCTAATCTAGCTATTCATCGTCATCAACAAAAACTAGCATACACTTGTTGGCATCGAAACCTCATGAAATAGCTTATGTTAGAGAACGAGAAAGAAATGAACGAACGAATGATAGGTGCGGAGAGTTTTTTGCATTTTGAAATGAGAAGTTTTGCTCTTGTGGCAGATCGATCTTTCCATCAACTCGATATTTTTCGTCATTGTAACATGTATCCCATCATGAGAGATCATTTACCGCTTAGTAAATGACATTTTACGAAATATTTTTTTTTTGAATTACAAATCTAGGATTAATTTAGAACAATAGAGAAGAGTTTGAACGACTGGTTGGTGAAAAAATCACAAAAAAATCAAATATGAATCTCTGAAAAATTGTGTTCTACAGAAAACATTGAAACATGCATCGAAATAACGTTCATCTTGTTGATCTACGTAATGAAATAATTATTATTATAGCACAACAACATCAATAACTAATGAGATTTGTTCAATTTCTGATTCAGTACTAGATCGATTTTGTATTAATATATATTGTTACGAATTCGTTCATAAAAATGTCAACTCTCTCATAGTTGTGTGCAAAAATAAGAAAACGAATTATTCCTTCGATAATAGATGAGATTTTTATCATCTTTTTTTATTTAGACTAAGAATATTGTCTCAATAGTATTATTTCACTTGTAGATTGAACAAGTATTACAATTTATCATCTTTAATTCAAGTTGATCAAATAATTGTTGTTAATTAATAAAAAAAGATAATCAAACGAAATGTAACTTTCAGATTTTAACCCTGAATTATTACATCTTTTCAAGATAGATTTTTCCATGATCATCGTTCTTGTTTTTTGACAGTCATTTCAAGACTCACATATTGAGATAGGATGAATAAATGTATGGTGTAACGGTTAATAAGACTCTATTGAGTTTATATCGTATTGACAAACTGGATAGAGGTGGAGTAGCTTACAGCCACTCACGGCAATGATGTTTATTCGTTTATTCACATATCCAGAGTGTAACG